CTCAGAGGCTTTCGGCTTTGCCCAGCCGCACACAGCACAGCCCCCGAGCTCACCGCCACCGTTGCAGGGGCTCACGCCAGCTGTAACGACACCGCTCGGGGCAGTGAAGCCCGAGCCTGGCCCCATCCCTCCTCCATTCCTGAGCACACTGAGTGGGAGAGGTCTTTCATCCAGGGATCCCGAAGAGCTTGACGGCATCACGCTGCTAGGAAGAAGGGGACTCACTTTCACTCTTTCATGAAAAGGGAAATTAAAGCATGACCCAGAGGTCACAATGTCACTGGCAGGTCTAGGGACAGATCTGGGCCTCTTCTTTTCTCTAAGAACCCCCCTTTGTCTCCCTAAAGAGCCCCTCAGCCTTAGCTTGGTCCCCAAGAGCCCCCCATGCTAATCTTTACTCCCTGCACCTTCCCAAAACCTGGTCCACCCCATGCCAGTGGGACTTCTGCCACTGCAATTAGCAGGCCTGGATCCTACCCAAATCTCCAATAGAGGTTTCTCTCCTGGCAGCAAGGAGCTTCCCTTCCCTTCCCTTCCCTTCCCTTCCCTGTCCCCTTCCCTTCCCTGTCCCCTTCCCTTCCCTGTCCCCTTCCCTTCCCTGTCCCCTTCCCTTCCCTGTCCCCTTCCCTTCCCTGTCCCCTTCCCTTCCCTGTCCCCTTCCCTTCCCTGTCCCCTTCCCTTCCCTGTCCCCTTCCCTTCCCTGTCCCCTTCCCTTCCCTGTCCCCTTCCCTTCCCTGTCCCCTTCCCTTCCCTGTCCTCTTCCCTTCCCTGTTCCCTTCCCACCTGCCCAGCAGCCAGCCTCCAATGAGCGGAGCAGGCAGCACATCCAGGGGGGTGGCGAGGGGAACGATGGCACATCCCATAGGCCATCCTGAGCCTCAGTAGCGCTGAGCCCCCTCCTCTTTGGGGCGACCGGCTGAGAGCAAGAGCCATCGACAGAGACCCAGAGCCCAGGGAGGGCAGGTGGGGTAGCGCTGGTCTGCAGGCAGCAGCGAGGGGCGGCTCTGCTCGGCAGCTCCGGCACGGACACGTGTGCACCTCAGTCTTAGAATCATCTAGGTTGGAAAAGACCTTTAAGATCATCAAGTCCAACCAGTCTTCCAGCATGAGCCTCCACTGCATCAGCCTCCCGGTCACACGTGTGCACCTCAGTCTTAGAATCATCTAGGTTGGAAAAGACCTTTAAGATCATCAAGTCCAACCAGTCTTCCAGCATGAGCCTCCACTGCATCAGCCTCCCGGTCACACGTGTGCACCTCAGTCTTAGAATCATCTAGGTTGGAAAAGACCTTTAAGATCATCAAGTCCAACCAGTCTTCCAGCATGAGCCTCCACTGCATCAGCCTCCCGGTCACAGGGCAAGAGGGAACCTCGGGTAAGAGAAAAGGGAGTGAGGAGGTTCTCCTCCCCCTCTACTCTGCCCTGCTGAGACCCCACCTGGAGCATTGGGTCCAGTTCTGGGCTCCCCGGTTCAAGAAAGATGAGGAACTCCTAGAAAGAATCCAGAGGAGAGCAACAAGGATGATGAGGGGACAGGAGCATCTCCCCTGTGAGGAAAGGCTGAGGGAGTTGGGCTTGTTCAGCCTGGAGAAGAGAAGGCTGAGAGGGGACCTCATCAACACCTACAAATATCTCAAGGGTGGGGGTCACAAGGATGGAGCCAGACTCTTCTCAGTGGTGCCCAGCGACAGGACAAGGGGCAATGGGTACACACTGAAACACAAGAGGTTTCAGTTGAATAGGAGGAAAAACTTCTTGACTGTGAGGGAGACAGAGCCCTGGCCCAGGCTGCCCAGGGGGGCTGTGGAGTCTCCTTCTCTGGAGATATTCAAAGCCCACCTGGACAATGTCCTGTGCCCCCTGCTCTGGGTGAGCCTGCTTGAGCAGGGGGGTTGGACTGGGTGATCTCCCGAGGTCCCTTCCAACCCCTGCCATTCTGGGACTCTGTGAGAGCAAAGCGGGGGGCACCCAGCAGGCAGAGCCGCCTGAGCTGTGCCCTCCCTGCTCAGGTCCATGCTGTGGTTACGAGAGCCTGCCCGGGTCCCTCTGCTTTGCTCGGCTGCGGCACGGCTCTCCCGTGCTGGACTTGCCACCGTGCCGCTACCCGGGCGGCTGAAGGTTTCCTCTCCCACAGCTGCTGCCTTCTTCTGCATCGCAAATCCTCCCCGGCGGCAGCAGCGCTGGCTGTGGGGCTCCAAGGGGACTGCTCAGCTGCAGGAGGAGCACGGGGGGGCAGGGGGGGCTGAGCAGGAGGTGCAAGGCACACGCTAACCCTGGGGTGCCTGCGGGGTGACAGGGCTTGCGCAGCAACAGTGCCTTCTTTGGGACGGGGGGGGGGAATCTGCGAACAGAGCATAAGGAATAAAGCAAAGCGTTCAGCTTACTCATCTGACAAGCTGGGGAAGGGGCACCAGGTTTTTGGCCAGGTTCATCTCCGAAAAGCAAATTCCAGTCTCCCAGTCACTCCCCGGCCCCTCACATCCCACCCTGCCTGGATCGTCGTGCTCAGGAGCAAGGGCGATGCTGGCTGTCGCCCTGCGGAGATGCAGGCAAGCCCCGCTGTGGTTCCCCACCCAGGGCAGGGCGATGCAGCCCAGGCTGGGTTCCAGGAACTGTGTTAGCAGGGCTCTAGTCCACGCATTAGTCTCCTCCTAGGACTACGCAGCATTTAGACACTGCAGCACTTTTACAGGGTCATGCTAACCCCTGCTGTAAACTGTTTACCAACCCAGTTTTGTCCTAGGTTTTTGAGGTAAAACACATACACATCGGCCGCGCTGGGGAGGGGGGGTTTCTGAAAGCTGATCTAGCGCCAATGACAGGGGATACAACCACAGCAGAGACGGAGGAGGAGCCAGCTGCAGAGTCTAATCCCAGTAGGAACTGCAGCATCCCTTCTCCTCTCCTGGGCTGCAAAGGGCTCACAGGAGCAAGCAACTGGCTCCGCGGCTTCCCCCCCCACCCTGAAACAGCTGAATAAGGTTGCCCCCTCGAGCTTTTAACCAGCCTCGGAGAAGTCCAGCCCAGCAAACGTGCAGATTAAAAAGCTGGGGAAAGGGAAATCCTTTCTGTCCCAAAACAGCGTCACTGAGAGGAGAGCAGGCTCCGATATAAATGCCATCGTCATCTGCCCACTGCAGTCTGATGGAACGAGGCAAAAGGCTTGCCCTGCTCCACTGCAAACAGGGTTTCCCTCCATCCCCAGGAGCCTCCCCCACTGCTCAGGCTTGAGCACTGGGGAGCGGTAAGCAAATCCGCTCTTGCAGGTGCACATAAACATCTCTGCTGTGCTAGAGGGCAGAACTGGTCCAGCCGTGGCTTGGCCAACCCCGTCATGGGACCCCAGTCAACTCCCTTCTCTGTGCTCCAGTTCACCACGTAGACCCCATGGGACAGCCCTTACCAGGAGCCGGGGCACTACCCGTGCCACACATTGGGAAGGGCAAGGGTGTCGCTACAGCCTCCCCTCCCTCGTGCATAGCATTTGCCTCTGACGTTGCCCCCGAGGTGAGAGGAGCTGGAGTCCCACACCTGCAGCTGCTGCTCTGGGATGGACAGCAAAGGATGGAGGGGGTCCCTTAGGAGCAGCAAATGGAGATGCCTGCAATGCACAGGGCAGAGGCAGTAGAAGAGCGGGCTCCCATCACTGCTTGCACTAAACCCCTTTGAGATCTGAGGAATCCTCTTCTCAAAAAGAGGGACC